TTGCGTTGTAAATATCTGTGGTTGTGATTAGGCCTTGGTATATGCTTTGCAGCCCAGGGCTTTCTCCTTCCCTGAGAAAGCATCACATCCGTCTCAGGAAAGTCGTGGATCTCTAGCTCTTTAATTCTCACCTTGTGTCTAAGTGTCCAGCTGGGCACCTTACTCATCAGTGTGAAGGAGCAGAAAGACGTAGCGCTGGGAGGATGGGCTGGAGTCCTAGCTCCTCGATATCAGTGGGTAACCTTCCATCCCCTCGTTTCCTCACCTTCAAAGCAGGAATTGTTGGAGGATTAGCCACAACAGCTACCATTGATGGTAGGTTTACATGAGCAGGGACCAGGTACAGCTGCTGAAGAGTCTACTTAAATTCTCTCATTTAATCCTCCAATGTCAAGTGAGATCCTTTCCCTCTGGACTGGGAAGGGCTGTGCAAGCACAAAGACATCAAAGACAGGACAGAGGAAGCAAGCTATAGACTTAAACTACAGAGTAGTTAGACTTAAAATTCTAAAGGACTAAGACCCTTGATATAAAAATTTCAAAACTCTCAGAACTTTATAGAAAAATAAGCAAAGCTAGGAGTAAATAAATTCAGAGGAAAGCAAGTACTATAACTAAAAATATTTAAATATTTAATCTCATTGGTAAAGAAATTAAAATAAAAAGAATGCCTTTGACCGACCTATCAAATTTAAAGTGACAGCAGTTTGTTAAGTGAAAATCCTCAGTGTTAGCCAGGATGTAAGAGAAAGCTGTACCCTTCGCGTGGCTCGTGGGCATGTAAATTGGAGCAGCTTTCTGTGGAGTCGTGTGGCAGAATGTGTCCAGAGCCTCAACAAATGTTCACATTGAGCTGATCTGGCAATTCCACTTCCAGGAATTTATCCTGAGGGAATAATCCGACATGTGGGCAGGATTTATGTAAAAATGCTAACTTATGTTGCTTTTCATTGGATGTAGCCTGAATGGTTAACATAGGGTAGAGCGATGGACAGCCCTTAAAAAAAATTGAATTTTAAATGAAATGAGGGACATTCTCAAAATACAATAAACACTATAAACTCAATTTTATAAGAAGAAAAAAATGCACACGAGATTTAAAAGCTACAGAGAAATATACTGAAATGTTAGCAGTGGTCTGTATCTAAGTGGTGGGATTGTGCGTGACATTTATATTCTTTATGCTTTTCTTGATTTGTTGGATCCAGAGAGAGAGAAGGGGGAAAGATGGTGTATTATAGAACAGTCCCCTTCACACTGTTAATGAAGTATTTGGGTAGAGAGAATTGTAATTCGTGTAAATGGAATTCTTTTTAAGGCCTTCTCCAACATCTATAGCTCAAGTAGATCAGAAAAGGCAGACATGGAATCTAGGGCACGTTCACACATTCACACCTGGAGTAGGTGTCTTCTTCAAATAAACCTCTTCCAGACCCCAGGCTAATGTTGGACACCAGCGAGTTGTTGAGCATAAGATGTTAGGATCTGTTGTTATCTACTGTTTTTATGTTTGGGTACTCAGTTCCATTCAACAGTTTTCTGATTAGAGGACATTGAGTGAGGCTCTCTTTTGTCTATTGTATGGACTGAGAAACAGGTTCACTGACTACATTCAATCTTCATGGCAGATTTGGGGATTTTGAAATGAATTTATTTTAAATAACGATTGATAGGGTTCTATTTTGGCAGGGCCACCACCAGTTCTAGCCCTGCTTGTTTGGAAGGGTGGGTTTCTTTAGTTAAGGTTCCCAGCAGTGCACTCACAAGTATTTATGAAATTAAAGGCATTATGGCTTCCTTTACAACCTCATGGCTATTGTCTCAGAGCTCAGTGCTGTGCTGGCCCAATAAACCGTATGAAATCAGCTGTAACTGTGTAAAAGTAGACTTTTGCTTTGTGGCTGTATTATACACTAAATTAGGGTTCCCAGACCCAATTCCAACGTGGGGGAATTCCCTGCTCCCACACCAACAAATGGTTCTGGACACCAGCAGGGTGCCCAAGAATTCAACTAAATTATGACGCTGTCTGCCCAGAGGGTTCAGTCCCAGAAGACACCCCACCCCCTGACACACACACACTTGAGATGCCAGTTGCAAGTCCAGGCGTTGACCTACTGGTTATAAATAAAAGATTCCCACAACCCCCTCTTTGGGTTCAATTAATTTCTAGAATGGCTCACAGGACTCAGAGGATCATGTCACCTACCAGAACACTGGTTTACTAGAAAAGGCTATGACTCAGGAACGGCCAGATGAAGAGAGACATGGGGCAAGGAGTGTGGGAAGGGGCACAGAGCTTCAGTGCCCTCTCCAGGTGCCCCACTCTCCCCACATCTCCATGTGTTCACTAACTAAGTTCTTCAAACCCCGTCCCCAGAGGTGGGGAGAGAGGCAGAGACTGCAAGTTCCAACACTCTAGTCACATGGTGGGTTCTCCTGACAACCAGCCTCCACCTTAGGTACTTTCCAAAAGTCACCTCATTCACATAACAAGACACCTGTGTCCTCATCACTTAGGAAATTGCAAGAGTTTTAGGAGTTGCGGGCCAGGGGTATGGGCAAAGTCCACATATATGTATCATATACATGATAAGATGTCTCTCCCTGCTTCTCTCTCTCCCCCTCTCTCTCTCTCTTCCTCCTTCTTCTTCTTCTTCTTCTTCTTCCAGGGGTATGGGCAAAGTCCACATATATGTATCATATACATGATAAGATGTCTCTCCCTGCTTCTCTCTCTCCCCCTCTCTCTCTCTCTCCTTCCTCTTCTTCTCCTCTCCTTCTCCTTCTCCTTCCTCTTCTCCTTCTCCTTCTCCTTCTCCTTCTTCTTCTCCTTCTCCTTCTCCTCCTCCTCCTTCTCCTTCTCCTTCTCCTTCTCCTTCTCCTTCTCCTTTTCCTTCTCCTTCTCCTTCTCCTTCTCCTTCTCCTTCTTCTTCTCCTCTCTCTCTCCCTCCCTCCTTCCCTCCCTCCCTCCCCCCCCTCTCTCTCTCACACACACACAGTATCTACTAGTATGATTCACTTTCCTTAGTATATGCCAAAATGGGGGGATAGATAGATAGATAGATAGATAGATAGATAGATAGATAGATAGATATGCCATCAATAACTATGATAGTTGAAAGAATGCTTACAGTGTCCAAGGACTTAAAAATGTTAGAGGAAAGGAGAATAGAGATGAGTTTTCCTTGAATTAGAAGCTCTCAAATCTATTGAAACAAAATATCTGGTCCTAGAGCCGAGGGAATGTATATTTTACACATGATCTTAGCCAAAAGGCTGAGAAGCAATGGGAATGTCTAAAGTCTCTACAGGAAATTCTGACGCAGCTGTTGAAGCTGTTGAAGTACTGGCTTAGCGGTACTGCTCTGACATATATTTATTTTGTGCTGTCCACCTGTGGCTGTGGAGCTCTTCAAATGCAGCTCATGAAATAAAAATGGAACTTTTATTTTAATTAATTTTAATTAGAATGTAAACAGCCGCGTGTGAAGAATTTCTACCATGTGAGAGCAGCCTTGACCTAGGTGCACTGCCCTCCAGTTGCGGGGGAAATGAAGCCATTTTTAGCACATCCTTCCATCAGGTGTGCGTTTTGTCACAGTGACGCTCAGACAATGGCTCAGACTTTTCACAGTTAACTTCTGGGTTCCAGTGGCAGCAGATGTGGCTCCAGAACCTCCTACTGGAAGGATCAAGGGGCCACTGTGCCTTCTGTAGCCACCACACCCAGGCACGTGAGCTGGGTTTTGTAATCTAGTTTGCTCAGCATAGTCTTTAGCCTCCCTGCTCAGAATGTACAGTGATGCTGTTCACAGCCTTCATCATCCCACAAAGCAAAACCAGGACCTCTTTCTCACCCAGGATTTCTAACTCATGATGTTCGTTTTCGTAGTTGTTTTATTTTTAACTAAGGAAATCATTCCTAATCTTCTCTCCTGTTGTTTAAAGGGTTTAAAAGTTCAGCATGGTGAGTTTTTATGGGACTTTTATGGGAAGCCGAGTGTTGTAAACATACCCAAATTATCTCCGTAGTGCCGTTTGCCAGATCCTTTCCTTTGCACATCGACCTGACTTCCCTTCAAAATATGAACCAGATGGGTTCAGTTAGCATTCTCCAGCTCTTCCACACAGTATGTTAGGGCATCTCCTATTCTGAGCCTGGTGAGATCAGGATGAGTCCTGAACAGAAACGAGACAGATTGTGGTGGCAGCAGAGGCTGTGTCCATCCGTCCAGGACCCTGTCCCCGCGCCATAGTGTGGCACCCCCTTCTCATAGAGGTTCAGTGCATCCTGGTTGAATGAATGAATGAAAATGTTCTTGCTGTAGACAAAGTGGGCTGAAGGGATGATCAAAGGAAGAGAGAAGACAGGAATCAGGGAGAGGCCCCGTTTGGGATAAAAGCGAGTTGATTTAGGACGAAATGCTTGCCCTCCACAGCATTACTCTGTCGAATCTAGCAGGTAAGAAGAAAGATCATAGCTCCAGGAAATCTAGCTCAATGCTGGTGAAGATCTTTAGCACCACAATGGTGATTCCCTAGACCAGTGGTCCTCAACCTTCCTAATGCCGTGACCCTTTGATACAGTTCCTCATGTTGTGGTGACCCCCAATTTCATTGTTACAAATTGAACATAATTAAAGCAGAGTGATTAATCACAAAAACAGTATGTAATTATATATGTGTTTTCCGATGGTCTTAGATGACCTCTGTGAAAGGGTCATTCGACCCCCAAAGGGGTAGCGACCCACAGGCTGAGAACCACTGCCCTAGACTAACGATCGGAAAGGCTCCGAAGAACTGAAATTGTTCGCAGAGGTGGAACCAGGAGAGGCTGGTTTAATTCCAACTCTTAATAATTCAAATGCTCTTGGCTGTGGCCTATGTATTTATTTTTCATCTAATGTTACAGTTCTAAGAAACTTAGCAGTTAGACCGCCTATGGTTGTGATGTATCTGCCCGCTTATCGGCATTTTTTATTTTCCTGAAATTTTAGGCACAGAAAAATGAGAGAGAATCTATCCGACAGAAGTTGGCACTCGGGAGCTTCTTTGATGATGGCCCAGGAATTTATACCAGCTGCAGCAAAAGTGGGAAGCCCAGCCTTTCCTCTCGGTGAGTGTTCCTTTGAATTGATTCTCTGATATGTGTACCTAATGGGTTTTGTCATCTGACCACTTGTCTAATAAAAGATATCCTTTAAGTCCTTGAGTATTTTTTTTCATAATACTATCAACTTTATTTGGATTCTGGACAGACTTCTCCCATTTGTTGGGTTTGTTTATTGGGGTTTCGTTTTGGGGCTTTTTTTGGCCAGTTTGCCAAGCCACCTGAGGTCAGATTTCTATATTTCTTTTTTTTTTTTCAAGACACAGTACTGTTTTTGCACTGTGATGGGGGAATCAGGGCACACTCCAAAGCTGGCTGATGCTAAGAGAAGCATGGCAGATCACCAGATTTCCCATTAAGCAGTCCCAAAGCACCCAGCATTGCTTCCCTCTTCCATTTGATTGTAGTAAATACCATAACTGAGAAATACAGTTCCCACTTTGAGTATTTGATGTTTATTACAGAGCTTAGCTTGTCCTCCAGGTGGTTTTTCATATATATATATATATATATATATATATATATATATATATATTGATTTCAGAGAGGAAGGGAGAGGGAGAGACAGAAACATCAGTGATGAGAGAGAATCATTGATTGGCTGCCTCCTGCACGCCCTACACTGGGGATCGAGCCTGTAACCTGGGTATGTGCCCCTACCGGGATTCGAACCATGACCTCCTGATTCATAGGTTGACATCCAACCACTGAACCACACCAGCCGGGCCAGGCAGTTTTTGTTTATCTTAATTTATTCAAGATTTCATTGCTTATTTATCACTATTTCAGGATATCTTTGATTATTTGCATAGCTTCCAACTCCAATTAAAATTATAATTTTACCTGGAAAATAAGGCTATCAGCCAGAACTTCTCAAACTGTAATGTGCATATGAAAACCCTGGGGATTTTGTTAAATTCTGAGTCACTCGGTCTGGGTGGGGCTCAAGATGCTGTATTTCTAACAAGCTCCCAGCTGATGTCCAGACTGCCCATCCATCAGTGACACTTTGCTATGTGAGGATATAGACCATCTCAAAAATTAACTGTTATAAATATGGATATTCCAAGTGGTTAAAACACATAGAACTTTGTTTTAATAAAGGTAGTAGTAACTGAACGCCCATCAGTGTTCTCTTGATGTCTCCTCAAATGGCTGTTTCTGGTTGGAATGCCTGCGTCTTCCTCTGGGCTCTCTAAGAGTAAATACTCCCCGTATAAATACTGGCTAATTTCACCATGTTAGGCCAGGGGTGGGAGACACATGATGGCATTTACACACTCATTCAGCCAATAGATTTTCACTCTGTCCTTCATCTGAAGCCTGGAATTAGACACCTTCAAATCTATTTACATTTCTCTGGCTCTCATTACGCCTTGTACTTCAGTCTGATCCTTAGACTCATCTAAATCAGCAAGAATCAGAAAGCACACGCATGCTCACATATATGCATGTTTAGGGTCACTGCAGGTGAATTAGCCCGTGCAGAGCTGAGGCACCTCTTCCTCATTCCCACGCTTTTCATGTGCCATTTCAGAGCTGGGGGCTCAGCCTTCCCTTTGCTGCAGAGCCACCTGTTCCCCCCACAGCGGAGTGCGACAGGAAGAGCTCAGGCCTGGGCACCTGGACACCTGAGGATTAGTCTTAGTTGAGCTTCTAATTTTGAGACTTGGTTTTATCACGCCTTAGTTTCATTTTTGTAAAATGAGGGGGTTGGACCATAAGTTTTAATAGATTTCTGCTACTGCCCTCTAATGTTCCCCAAAATGCCAAAAAGTTTTCTTCTAGAAACTCCATTTCTCTGCTCAGCAATGTCAGATCTATCGGGTCCAAATGGAAGATTCTTGTTTTTTAAATGAAAGTTAGTTCAATAGATATAGATATAGATATAGATATAGATATAGATATAGATATAGATATAGATATAGATATAGACATGCACACACATGCATACATATATATGGCTGTGAAAGTGAAATAGAATCAATGAAAACTGCAAGGCATATAATAACACAAAATAAAAATAACAGCCCTCTTTATCCTTGTTCCCTCTCCAGAATTAACTCTTTGTTTTTCTGGTATTTGCCTGCATATCTCTAAGTAAAATGCTTATCTTCTTGGTGATTGCTTTTAAATAACCATCTTTTGACCACCTTCTGTGGAAATTTTGGGTTTAACTCTCTTTTACTGCCCCCTCACAGATATATCTATAGTATATTCCAAACTCTGTTCTCTTCGTGGCCATTTCACAACTTGAGGTCAAATAACTATTCAATGTTGACTTTATTAAGCTCATGTATTATTCATACTGAGCCATATGCTAATCTATGATTACTTGAGAAATTATATTGTTTGTCCTGAATTTAAAATTGCCCCGTTTTTCTTTTTGCTGGTCTGTGATTTCGACTGCTATATCATATTCCACTGTGTGAATATAATCAGTTTCTTCTGCCACTTTTCTGATGATGGGCATTGGGTTGTTGCAAAGGTTTCGCTCTTGTAAACAATGCTGCTTATAAATGTGCTTGTACGTGTCTTTTCCTGTCTGTGTGCAAGAGCTTCTCTTTGGTGTATACCTAAGGGTGGAATTGCTAGGAAAATGCATGAATGCTCACATTTAGACGATAATGCCGATCTGATTTCCAAAATGGTTGCAACAAGTTTCATGCCTACCAGCAATGTCTCAGAGAGCCTGTGGACCCATAACTTTTCTAACACTTGATATTGCCAATTTCTTTTAAACTTTTGTTAATTCAATGGATATAATATGGTATTTCATTGTGTTTATTAGACATCCTGTTTCCTCTTCTGCAAAATGTATATTCAGGTCTTACTGGATTCTCTGTGCTTTTTAAAATTAATTTATCAAAGTTGTGTAGTCATAATACTAATCCTTAATACGTTGTAGGTATTGCAAGAATATCCTCCCAGGTTGTAGCTTATTTTTTCAATTCTTCAATGTATCTTTTATGACCACAAGTTCTTAATTTCAATACAGTAAATTTTTATCAAACTTTTCTTTTAGAGTCAAGCTTTTCTATGTCTAATATAAAAAAATTTTCTTCTACCCCAATATCCAAAAGTCATTAACCTAGATGTCAAACCAAGAGTTAAAAGTGTTGATTTTTTTAAAAGTCTGTAGTAAATTAGGAATTGGTTTCTGAATATGGTACAAACAGAGCAAGGTGAGGGTCTAGGTCAGGGGTAGGCAACCTTTTTGTGAGTGCGTGCCAAAACCAGCAAAATCTCTGACTCAAAATTTTTCTGCGTGCCAACCCTACTTTTTTGAGAACACGTTACACTTACTTGATATCTCTTAAGGTGTACGTATGTGAAGAACCTTGAAGAAATAATAAAATTCATTTGAGCGACAAAAACACAGTATATGATGATGAAAAATACATTTATTTTTTAATGTATACATGTACACTGATAGTCCAACAGAAAGCTTTATGATTCCATTTGATATTATCAGTGGGACTTTTGCTGCTGCATCACTGATGACAGAGATTTTACATCAGGTTTATATTTCGTGACCTTCAGAGATATGCATGAGCTACTTTTCATCCGTCAGGCTACTCCTATTACGTGACTTAACAAAATTCATCACTGAAAACAAAGATTCACAAGCGTATGTGGATGAAAACATGGAGAGTAACGCTGTTGAAAAGTTTTTTAAACGGAAAAAATTGTCTGGAATGGCATTCCAAGTCCTCAATAGTTCATTTTCGACACTATTGAAATTGCTCTTCCCCTCTCTCATCAATCCATGTCTATGGTCTTTAAGATAACTTGTTATGTAAAATTATTTATTTATCTAAGATGCACCTACACTGAATTTATCTGAAAAATTAAAAAATCGATATTAAGAAAAAAATTGTAAATGGAAGATTATAAGAGAGGGTTTCGCGTGCCAGCAAAAGTTACTGGCGTTCCATGTTTGGCACGTGTGCCAGGGGTTGCCCACCCCTGGTCTAGGTAGTCCTGTCAGGCATTGTCAAATACCTCTCATCCATCTACATTTTATCTCCCAAATTTTTTCAAATTCTCTTGTGTGCTATTATCAACTCTTCCATTTTCTTTGTGTAGGTTTATACCTTTTTTCTTCCTTTATCATTATAGTAGTAGGGTTTCAGGGGAGAGATTCAATAGCTGTGTTCAGTATGCCATGCTTAAATAGAAGTCTCATGAAGGTTTTTATTTTATTTTTTAATGATGGTTTATATTCAGTATTATCAATATTATTCTGCATCAGTTTCAGATGTACAGCATAGTGGTTAGTCAATCCTATACTTTACAGATTGGTCCCCCAAAATATTTCCAGTACCCACCTAACTCCATACATAATTATGTGATATTATTTACTATGTTCCCTATGCTGTCGTTTACATCTCTGTGACCATTCTGTAACTACCAATTTGTACTCCTTAATTCCTTCACCTTTTCCACCCAGTCTCCCAGCCCTCCTTCCTTCTGTCAGTCTGTTCTCTGTATCTCTTGAGTCTGTTTCTATTTTATTTTCTTTAGATTCTGCATATAAGTGAAATGATAAAAGAAATACCTTCTCCAATAAAACCCTGCGCAGAAACCCTGTGTGTAAAACAAAGCAGCCCTCCCCTGGCTCAGGAGGACTGAAGGAGAGGGACTGGGAGAACCCTGCCCGGAAGGTGCCCCCCCCCCCCCGATCCTTTCCCTTCAGTGCCTCTCCCCGCCTCCCCTGCCAGCCCCCAGAGCCCACCTGAAACCCCTCTGGCAGAGCAAACCTTGGAAATCACTGAGTCATCTACCCCCTTTGGAGACACAGATATCGAAACACATGTATTTCACAGCAGCTCAGAACAAGCTACACTTGTTGACTCGCCATAAGGAAGATTATTTTTATCCTGTTCTTTAGATGTTTTTATCTGCACATGCTGGGATGAGCTCATCCTCTGTGAGAACAGGATGACTTCTTGGATACCCCTTAGGATGATGATTAATAATGATACAATGTTTCTAAGAAATAT